CTCCCATGAGACAATGATCTCTAATTAACCAGCAAATGGCCACAGGTGGCAGTGTGGCTCAAGCGATAGAGTGCCGGACTCTAAGCAAAAAATTCCAAGTGAGGGCAGGTGCCAGGGGCTCACATCTGTAATCCTAGATACTCAGGAGGCTGAGATCTGAGGCTCACAGTTCAAAGCCAGCCAAGCAGGAAAGTCTGAGAGACTCTTACCTCTAATTAACCACCCAAAAGTTGGGCATGGAACTGTGGCTCAAGTGTTACTAAAGTAGCCTTGAGCAAAAAACGTTTAGGAGCCAGGCTCCAGTGGCTCATGTCTGTAATCCTAGCTACTCAGGAGACAGATCAGGACATGCCAGCCTGGGTAGGAAAGTCCATGAGACTGTTATCACCAATAAACCACTAGAAAACCGGAAGTGGTGCTGTGGCGCAAGCGATAGAACCCTTGCCTTGAGCTGAAGAGCTGAGGGACAGCGCTCAGGCCCAGAGTTCAAGCCCCAGGACCAGCACAGAAAGAAAAGAAAAACAGTAACAAATAAATTCCACCCACCATGATGGGGTTCACATGAAAGATGAGGAGCTACTTGCAGGGTGACAGATCCAAGCGTGGAGAAGGTCGCCCTTTCCTACCTTACCTTCTATGATCTGCTACACGGGATTTCTACATAGCATAAAATCCCTTCACAGCAAGTGAATGTCGTTTCAAAGGAAATTTGTTTGATCAGAGGGTTCTTAGCCCCATGGAGGATGTCCTCATCAAACACATACGTGACAAGCCAAAATTCCAGCAAGACCTACCCAGACGCGAGTCCAACCTGACACCACGCGTCCTGGGGGCAGTTACAATAGTGGTGGAAGACAGGAAGGCAGACAAGGACAGAAAGTTTTGTTCCCTTAATACCGAGGGCCCTATTTCCTCCAGGAATACTTGGCTTGTATCCACAGAAACCACGGAGGACAACAGAAACCCAGGTCCCCAGACAGGCCCCAGAATGGCTCAGAGCCGATGTACAGAAGTCCATCATCCCCAGTACGGAGAAAAAGCCAGGGGCTTTGGGGATTCTCCTCCTACAAAGCAGCAACTGCACACGTGGCCACCACGCGCTCCCAGGGGACTCATGAACAAGTTTGCATCCTCCTCAGAAAGATGGGACCCCTGAGGATTCTCTTGTTCCAGCTTTTGTTTATTTCTAGATAATGAAGACAATCAACAAAACTTCCCAGATGTACTGTCCTGTCCTGTGGGGCCGGTGGGCTGGGAAAGGAAGATTAAGAACATACAATGCTGCGATCTCAAGATTGCAGTTCAAAGCCAGCCCAGAGTCTGATCTCAGATTAAGGGGGGAGGCGGTGGCAGAAGTCGAGGTATGGCTAAAGTGGTAGAGTGCTAATCCTGAGCAGAAAAAGCCAAGCAAGAATGGAAGACCCTGAGTTCAAGCCCCAGTAGTGGCACCAAAAATAAAAACTCCATCGATTTGGAGAAGGAATCCTTTCTTTCCCATCAAGCTCACCTACTTAATATGCTCCTGGGGTATATTAGGCAGAACACGTGCCTTATATTTCAAAGTCCTGGATTTGATCCCTAGCACCAGAAAGAACAAGAAAAACATGGCCTAGACGCTTCCCACCTTGCGGCTGGGGTCTGAACTTAGCACAAAATTGTGTAGTTTGCCAAACTCATTGCTACCCTCTAAACCAGGCAAGCCCAGCCTGAATTCAGCCTGACCTGCAACTTCACCAGCAAAGTCAAACCATCATTAGGGAGCCCTCCAGGCCCCTCCCAGCAGGACAGGCCTTCCTCTCCTCAGAGAGAAAGGTTTCCCCACGGATGGTGCCCAGGGAAGCTCAAAAGGGCTCACCTGCCCCAGGCCCTCGCTCTGAGCCTCCACTTTCTCCAGCTGACACCTTCTTTGCGGACACTCTTAAGCCGGCCTCTGCCAGGTCACAGCGGCTCCAGTCACCCAAGGCAAGGCCCAGCCTCTCCCAGCACAGGAGCTGCTCAACTTTGACTGTCAGCCACGCCCCGGAAGTGCTGACTGTACCACGCCCCCCGGGAGGGCTGCTCCCTTTCCTCCACGCACGCTCGCCCGCCCCCCAGCCGCCAGCGCACACGGCGGCAGCGCTTCCGTGGTCTGAAAGCTGCAAGGTCTTTCTTGGGGGGAAACTGCCAAGGTTCACCTGTTTGCACCTCACGTGCCTTTCCTGAGATGGTCTGCGGCTTTCTAGAACTCCAGGGCCTGGCAAGAAAGTCCCAAGAGTTAATCATGGAATAGATTTCCCGCAGAGCCACCACGTACAAAGGCGTGGGCAGTGACGGGACCGTTTGGGAAAGGCCGGGCTCTCAGGGTCAAGAGCCAGTGGGGAGCCAGGAGCAGCTGCGGGTCTGAAGGGACCAAGGGAGGGGCCATACTTCTAGAGCCCAGGAAAGCGGGAGCCCCCGCAGAGGAGCACCCCCAAGAGCTGCTTTGCTGAGGATGGGAGATGGGGTGGTAGGACCCTCTCCTTCCTCCTGCCTCTCTGATCTCCAAATGAGGCCCATTGGCTCCACATCTGGAAGCCAGAGGGCCAAGGAGCTGAAGGGAAAGCAGAGTTTCTTTTCTGGACTCACAGAAGGCCGAGTCCGACTCATGGGAGGAGGGCGGGGGGGGGGGGGGGGGGGAAGGGGGGGGAGCTAGGCTTCGTTCACTCCTCCACTAAGCCACAGTCCCAGCAAGAAGTAACTAAAGCAAACAATGGCTGGAGTTGTGGCTCAAGTGTCCGACTAGCAAGTGTGAGACCCTAAATTCAGTTCCCAGTCACACCAAAACCAATATATAAAATTTGAGGGGCTGGGAAGATGGCTCAGTGGTAGAGTGCTTGCCTTGCATGCCTGAGGCCCTGGGTTCGATTCCTCAGCACCACATAAGCAAAAAGAAAAAAGCTGGAAGTGGCGCTGTGGCTCAAGTGGTAGAGAGCTAGCCTTGAGCTGAAGAGCTGAGGGACAGCGCCCAGGACCAGAGCTCAGGCCCTAGGATCAGACCAAAAAAAAAAAAAAAAAATTGAAATGTTTAGTGATTATGCTGAATATAACACTCTCCTCAAGTATTTCTACGCTAGTCCTTGATTCTCCATTGTTAGTTTTTGTGTTTGTTTTGTCAGTTATGGGGTGCTGTTCCTGAACTTTTTTGCTTAAGGCCAGCGCTCTACTGCTTTTTGAGCCACAGCTCCACATCCAGCTTTTGAGTGGTTAATCAGAGATAAGAGTCTCATGGGGGACTTTTCTTCCCTGGGATGGCTTTGAACTATGATCCTCAGATCTTAGCCTCCTGAGTAGCTAGGATTAACAGTGTAAGCCACCTGTGCCAGGCTTGATTTTCCATCTTTAGACAGTATCAATTTGCTTTTTTTTTTTTTTAATTTAATTTTATTGTAAAGCTACTATACAGAGGGTTACAGTTACATGAGTGAGGTAATGAGTACACTTCCTCTTGAACATTGTTACCCCCTCCATTGTTTTCCCCCTCAATTTGCTTTGTATCATGAAAAGAAGTACAGATAGTTTCTTTATAGTCAGAGCTCAGATGATGGGAGCTATAAACCTCAGGCACTAGAGTTAAGGAAATACCAGAAAACCTCATGATCAAGATTGTTTATTGTTTTATTGTATTATAAAATTAATGAAGGGCTAGGATATAGCTCAGTGGCAAAGCACTTGCCTAGTAAATGCAATATCCTGGGTTCAATCACCAGTACCAGATCACCAAAGCAGGAAATTCCCTGAGACTCTTATCTCCAATAAACTGGAAGTGGTGTTATGGCTGAAGTGGTAGAGTGCTAACCTTAATCTTAAGAGCACAGGGACAGCATCCAGGCCCAGAGTTCAAGCCCCATGACATAATAATAATAATGATGATGAAGAAGAAAGCTGGCTTACACCTGTAATCCTAGCTACTCAGGAGGCTGAGATCTGAGGATCACAGTTCAAAGCCAGCCGAGCAGGAAAGTCCATGAGACTCTTTTCTCCAATTAACCACCAGAAAACCATAAGCGGCACTGTGACTCAGGTGGTAGAGCGCTAGCCTTGAGCTGAAGAGCTGAGGGACAGCACCCAGGCCCTGAGTTCAAGCCCCACGACCAACACACACAATTAATGAAGAAAAAAGTGCAGGAAAACAAAATACCAAGATGTTAAATAAAGACAGGCTTTCTATGACTGGTTTTTCCTTTGCCTTAGGTGCATATGGCTTGGCTTATTGAATCTGGGGGGGGGGGCAGGGGGGTGCAGGCATGCCTGTGCACATTTCAACTTGGTCTCAAGGCCTCAGTCAGAGCTAGTGCTCTAGCACTTAAGCCACACCTCCAGTTCTGGCTTTTCACCAGTTGAAGAGAAGCATCTCTCAGATTTGTCTGTTCCCTCTGACTTTGGATCTTGATCCTCAGATCTCAACCTCCTAAACAGCTTGGATTATAGGCTGGAGCCACCGTTGCCTGGCTTTAATCTGTTTTGAGCTCTGTTGATTTGCCTTTCGCAAGATCGATTTGCTCCCCATTACCAGGCGAGGAGGAACAAGGAGGGGTGTTCTGCAGGCCCCTACATGCAGGATCTGAACCTCCCAAGAGAACCTCGCTTATTTCCATCAGACAAGTCTCCCCCGCGCTCTCGCGGTCCAAGGCCAGCGTCACCGTGAGTCAGCAGGATGTGAGCCTAAATGACTGCGCTCACCCACCCAGCCCGTTCTCCGCAGAGCTCGGGAGACGCCCCAAGAGCCCGGGGCCTCCACAGCTAGAGCCCGCGCGTGTGCTCGGGGCGCGGGCGCGCGTGCCCCCGCCCTCACCGGTCCCGGAAGCCCCTCTCCCCCCTGGCCTCCACGAGCTGCTCTTATTTTGGTGGTCCGCACGTGGGGAGCTCCCCTCCGCGGACCGGCGCCCCGAGGGTGCCGGCGCCCGGCCCCGCCCCCGGAAGCCGCCCAGTTCCCGGCCGGGCGGCCGGGCCAAGGTATAAAGCCGCCAGTCCTCGGCGGGAGCTGGGACCACTTCGCCAAGAAGCGCTCCCGCCGGCCCGCCAGCGCCTGCCCCCGGCCAGGGTTGCCCCGGCAACCAGCAGCCCAGCCAATCCGCGCCCAGTGCCGCTGGAGCCATGGCCGGTGAGTGGAGCTGGGTTTCGAGTTTCGCTTCACTTCTCCGATTCCGGGCGGCCTGATCCTGAATCCTTTGCAACCCGTAGTGTGGGGCCCACTTGAGCTGGTGCTCGATCCATTTTGGTGACAGATTCCCTACGCCGCCTTCAGACCCGGGGTCCTTCCAAGGCTCCAGTACTTTTCCACAGTCTCCCTCTGAGGCGGAGCAGCGCCAAGGGTCAGGACGCATTTCCTCCAATGGACCTGCCTCGGCCTGCACCCCGCCCCACCCCACCCCGCCCCGCCCCGCACACACCCTAGGCTAAAAGTACTGGGGGGGGGGGGGGAAGCTTGCCCATGCAGCGGGCCGTACGCAGTTGTAAACGTTTCTAGAAAAGGACGGAGGTATTGGCTAAGCCCTATCCACCATGCTGGGAAACAGAGCAGGGGAAAGGTGGTAGAGGTGGTTGTTCAAGCCCGTGCTGGTTTTGAACTCACAGCCTGGGTGCCGTCCCCGAGCCTTTTCACTCGTTTGGTGCTGTACCACTTGTGCCACAGCTCCATTACTGGCTTTTCTGATGGCAAATTGGAGATTAAGAGTCTCACGGACATTCCTGTCCTAGCTGATTTAGGCCCCTCAATCCTCAGATCTCACCCTCTCTGAGTAGCTAGCATTCCAGGCACGAGCCACTGGTGCCCAGAAATATTTTCTGATTTTTCCAATCCTACAGGAAGCCTTCTGTTTATGTGTAGCAAGCCCCTGAGGGGAAATGGGAAGATTTGGATCTTGTAATACCAGCTAATTAAACCCTGAGGTGCACTGTGGAGCATCTGTGACCAGGATTCAAATGAGAATAGAGAAAGGACTCCCCAGACTGATTTGAGGCTTACCTCTATTTCTAGTAGGGTTTCTCGATTGCTTCGATTGCTTCTTCTTCCTGCCAAAAAGGTCGTGTAGAAAATAAATCTTTTGGTGCTGACAGTGCCTCCACTAAGAGCATGCCACAATCTCCTTCTGGCTCTGACACTTTGCTTGTATAACTTCTTCGAGGTGGGTCGTCAGTGAATCCCTGGGGGGAGGGCAGCTTGAGAGATGATAGTTTCATGTAGAAGGTTAGTAAAAACGACTAGCTTTTAGACTGGCTTGAGGTTGAAGGAAAGGAAAAGGGTGAACACCAGAACAACAGAGCAGAACAGGGTCCGTTCCCAGAGGACTCTGACCACCAGAATTGAGGTTCCAAGGGATGTATTGCAAGGGCCCAGAGAAAGTGCAGGGGCTCAGGAGACACTGCTGGAGGGGCTGAGAGGTTGGTTTGTGAGGAAATTAGTATTTCCTGGGGAAAAAAGGAAAAGCTGGCGAGGAAATAAAAGAGTGAAGGAATGGGAGCTGTCAGTTCATGGAAAAGTGAGGGTGAACCTGTGTAATCAGTTCTTAGAGGCCCATGAACAGAGATGTGCTAGAGGCTCAGGGAGAGGAGTGACTCAGTAGTAGAGCAAAATATATATGCATTTATGTTTATTTAATATTATATATATATGTTTTTTTTAAGATATATTTGCTGGGCACTGGTGGCTCACACCTATAATCCTAGCTATTCAGGAAGCTGAGATCTGAGGATTGTGGTTCAAAGCTGGTCTGGGCAGGAAGTCTGTGAGACTCTTATCTCTCATTAACCATCTAAAATCCAGAAATGGAGCTGTGGCTAAAAGTAGTAGAGAGCTAGTCTTGAGCAAAAAAGCTCAGGGACAGTACCCAGGCCCAGAGCTTAAGCCCCATGACTGATCCCCCCCCCAAAAAAAAAGATCTATTTGCTTCAGTGAGATAGACCTCTCTACACCATGCATAACAAGAACTAATTAATGTTAAGCTAGAGGCGCCAAGAATATGGCAGGGAGGAGGTTTTCAAGAGGGACGAGGCTTTGTCTGGCTGATCAGTACCAAGTTTGTGACTTTGCTGCAGTAAAAGAGTTTGAGGACACACGCAGCTAGAGACCAAAACAGGTTCACAGTAAAGCAAAGCAAAGAAAGGATAGTGCACAGTCCAGACACGGCTGCGGGCAGGCGCTAATAAGCATGCTCTAATATCACGGGGGTTTGACTTAAATTTACCAGAGATGTTTCCCTATGTTCTAGATGTGTCCTGATATGCTCGATCATTCTTGCTGGTACACTGTTCTGGCTTTATTGATTGGGCCCAAAGATATCAAGTCTATTTGTTTGGTTTACTGAATTGGGTTACTATGGTGATGATGTCTGCTTTTCCTCAGTCTCCCTTTCAACAAAGGCTAGTTTCATCCTATGCTCCTTTAAAGGTGTCCTTCCTGGAAATAAGTTTTTTTGTTTGTTTTGTCAGTCCTGGGGCTTGAGCTCAGGTCCTGGGCACTCTCCCTGAGCTTCTTTTTGCTCAAGGCTAGCACTCTACCACTTGAGCCACAGTGCCACTTCTGCCTTTATCCGTTTATATGGTCCTGAGGAATGGAACCCAGGGCTTCATGCATGCTAGGCAAGCACTCTACCACGGAGCCAAATTTCCAGCCCAGTTTTTATTTTTCCAAACAATTTTTGTGCATTGAAGAGTCATTTTCTCAAGTCTTGTCCTATAAGTGCCTATCTTTTTAATTATTGAGGTATCCTTGGTGCCCAGAGCATACTAATTATTTGGGCAAGTAGGCCAAGGTCAGGGGGAGAGAGAGACAGAGAGAAAGAGAGAGGGACGGAGAGGGAGAGGAAGAGAGAGAGAGCTGCCTTAAAACACAAAACAAGGAACAAACAAAAACCCGAACTATATATTGCAGCTTTAGTGAGGGAATGTGAAGCATAAAGCAAAGGAAGTAGTGTCTATGCTTTCAATCCATCGATTCATTAATGCAATATGGCAGGTGCTGGGAAGGCCGTCCATGTTGGCTAGCCCTGAAGCTGCAAGTTTGGTTTTTTCCTGAGGAATTTTGCCCTTACCTCTCCTGTCCCCGGCATCATTGTTTCCCTGAAGTGGCTGTGTATGTGTCCTGTTGCCTCGCTTATGTGAATTCTGAGAACATCTAACTTGCCCTGGGTCATGTTGCTAGCAGGAAGGAAGTGGAAATGAACCTTCCAAGTCCACAAAGCCCGGTTTTGTGCATGGAAAAGGATGTCTACTTACCCAGGACTATTACTTTTGTGTTGTAAATCGGATTTACTCTTCACTGCTGCAAACAAAAATGACTATTTTGTGGTGTTGGGAATGGAACAGAGATTTCAGCCTTTGTGGATTTCCTATGTCTTGTGTATTTATTTTTAATTAAATTAAATTTACTTATTTATTTTTTAACCAATCCTGGGGATTGAACTCAGAGTCTGGACACTGTCCCTGAATTTCTTTTGCTCAAGGCTAGTGCTGTACCACTTAAGCCACAGCACCACTTCCAGCTTTTTCTGTTTATCTGGTACTGAGGAATCGAACCCAGGGCTTCATGTATACGAGGCAAGCTCTCTACCACTGAGCCACCTTCCCAGCCCCTGTCCTGTGTATTTCTAGTCAGGACAGCACTGATCGTCCTGGCACACTCAGAGAGGACATCCTTCAACCATGCCATGAAGGAGGCAGCTGTGGAGGCTCTGAAGGGCAGAGGATGGAAGGTGATGGAGTCTGACCTCTATGCCATGAACTTCAATCCCCTCATTTCCAGAAAGGACATCACAGGTAGGAGCTGCCCCCCCCCACCCCTCCTTTTCCTGAGTTCTTTGTGGAACTCCTTGCTGGTGGGCGCTGTGGTCCAGCCCTGGCCTCCAGGGCTTCAGCCTCTTTGTCCGCCTACAGGTGAGCTGAAGGACCCTGAGAACTTTCAGTATCCTGCTGAGGCCTCGCTAGCTTACAAGGAAGGCCGCCTGAGCCCGGATATTGTGGCTGAGCAAAAGAAACTGGAAGCTGCAGACCTTGTGGTATTTCAGGTATGGTAAGGATAGGATTTCAGAAGAGCTGTCTGTACCGGGCACCGGTGGCTTTGGCCTAGAATCCTGACTACTCAGGAGGCTGAGATTTTCCAGCCCAGGCAGGAAAGTCTGTGAGACTCTTATCTCCAATTAACTCCCCAAAAAGCTGGAAGTGGAGCTGTGGCTCAAGGGGGTCAAGTGCTAGCCTTGAGCCAAAAGGCTCAGAGACAGTACCCAGGACCTGCTGAGTTCAATCTCCAGGACAGCACTCCTCTCCCCCCTCCTTTCCCCCCTCAAAAAAAAAGCTGTCTGGGATGCTTAAATTCTTACAGTTCTCAGCCTGTCACCTCACTAGCTGTGTGAGCTTACACAGTCTGTTCTGTAGTAAGGGCGATTGCTTCAAAGCTCAGCATGGCACAGCGTTGTACATGCTGTGCATCTGGCCATGGTATTCAAGAATAATGTCTTACCGTGTAGCTATTCAGGCTTTGAACTTGAGACCTTCCTGCCTCAGCCTCCTTCCTGAGTGCTGGCATGCTAGTCCTCTTTGCCTAGAGGAAGGAGACTCCAAAAATGAAGCAGGAGTCTTCAGCATTTCCCTTCCCTGTGCCTAACTTCCCTTCTTTCAGTTATTCTCAGTGGACTCAGTCTCCTCTCTCCATGGAAATCCTGAACCATTTACAGAGTGGCATGTAAGACACGGACTTTCTTGCTGCTGGGGTGTCCCAGCTGGAGGGGGCTGGCCCTGCTTAGGGGGCTTCCTGCTGCCTGCAGCGGAGTCATCTCCCCTTTTGTTCAGCAGACAACACTGGGGCTGTGTGTGCATCTTTTCCATCGTCTTCCCCGTAAAGGCAGTGCGCTCTGCAATCAATGACCTGGCTGCTAGCGATCCTCACCAGCCTTTCCATGCTCAACACAGAGCGTATATGGTGCTGAAAACTTCCCAGGGAAGGTGCTATAGGCTGTAGTTCTCCTGGCTGTTATTCGAAAGCACTTGATCCCTGCGGCCCTTTTCCCTACCCCTCAGGCCTGTGGGTATGAAGTGATATCACACTGGCAGCCAGAGCTCCACACAATGGCTTACATTTTGTTTTTGCTGTTGGTCTTTGCAGTGCTGGGGATAAAACCCAGGCCCATCAAGCCTGCTAATTATCCACACAGGATTTTTTTTTAGTGGTGGTGTGTGTGTGTGTGTTTGTGTGTGTGTGTGTGTGTGTGTGGGTGTGGGTGTGTGTGTGGGTGGGTGGGTATGCTGGTCTTGAGGCTTGAACTCAGCGCTTGGGCATTGTCTTGGAGTGTTATGTTTCTGAGATGAGATCTCCCTAAAGGCTTTCCAGGTAGGCTTTGAACTCATGAGCCCCCTACTCCAATATCCCAACTTGCTAGGGTGACAGGTATACATCGTTTGCATTTTGACAGTTTTCTTTTTCTTTCTTTCTGCCTGGGCACTGTCCCTTATTTGTTTTTTAGCTCAAGACTGATACTCTGTAACTACTTTGGCTTTTTGGTGGTCAACTAGAGATAAGAATCTCATGGACTTTCCTACCGTAGGCTGGTTTCAAACTGTGATTGTCAGTCTCCTGAGTGGCTGGGATTACAGGTGCAAGCCACCAGCACTGGCTTTTTTTGTTGGAAGTCGGTTTGAACTGCCTTGTGCTTTCTAGAAAGGCCTTCTACCTGCGCTACCTGCGCTTGCGCTCGCTCTCTCTCTCTCTCTCTCAGCTTTTGAGATAGGGTCTCAATATGTAGCCCAGGCTGACCTTGAATAACTATGCCAAACTCCTGGGCTCAAGGGACGATCCTCCTCACCTCAGCCTCCTGAGTAGCTGAGATGACAGGGAAAGGGCATCACATTTTCACTTTTCTTTTAAATATACTAACTCCTCCAGAGGGACTGTCAAGCCCTGAAGGAAGGTGGCTCTCCACAGGGGCACAGAAACACCCGGAGCTGACCTCTGGTATCTTCTGTCCACAGTTCCCGCTGCAGTGGTTTGGAATGCCTGCCATTCTGAAAGGCTGGTTTGAGCGAGTGCTCGTGGCGGGGTTTGCCTACACGTACGCTGCCATGTACGACAAGGGCCCTTTCCAGGTAGGTGAGCTGTTGTTTGCTGGGGGGGGGGGGGGTCTGTGTACATTCCCTCCATAGGTTGAGCTTTGAGCACAGCTAAGCACCAAGTCCTCTGGGAGGAATGCCTGACAAAGGTCTTAGACACAGAAAGTGACATCATGCTTGGGAGTTGTTTGAAAATATTCCAGAATAAACAGCAGGAGGAATGAGGGGAGAAGCTAGAATGACGGTGAGAGTTGAGGCTGGTGGTAGATGCATCAACATACTATTCATGACTTTATGTTTGAAATTTTCCATAATAAAAATAAAAGTGCACCTTTGTTTTGTTCTTGAGCCCCAAATACTGCTTGAGAAATGTTTTGCCAAGTGACAGAGGTTTTTTTTTGTTGTTTTGTTTTTAGGTTTTTAGTTAGTTTGTTTTTGATGATAGTCCTGGGTCTTGAACTCTGGGCCTGGGCACTGTTTCTGAGCTCTTTTGGCTTCAAAGCCTCCTATTTGAGCCACAGCTCCCCTTCCAGTTGTTTGTGATTAATTGGAGATAAAAGTCTCTTGGACTTTTCCTACTGGGCTGGCTTCAACTCTCAATCCTCAGATCTCAGCCTTCTGAGTAGCTAGGATTACAGGCAAGAGCGCCAGGGCCCAGGTGTGAGAGGTCTTTTGTTCCGCATAACTGCCTTCAGTTGCTGGGACAGCGCTGAGCTGCTGGCTACAGGCAGGTGCGTGGAGCCTTTGGCCTGCCCATTCTCCCTGTCTGTGGATGGTCCAGGCTGGAACTTCTGCAGCCACACTGTGTGCAATAGAAACAGCTAACAGCGTGGACATGCGCGTCCCATTCTGTGCAGTCTTTCATGGAGGCTTGTTTTCTCTTTCCCAGAATAAGAAGACGGTGCTCTCCATCACCACTGGTGGCAGTGGCTCCATGTACTCCCTTCAGGGTGTCCACGGGGACATGAACATCAATCTCTGGCCAATTCAGGTACCTTGTGCTCAGGGAGCCTGCAGGGAATTCATTAATTGAGCTTTCCTTGGGGCCAAACACAAGATGGGCGGTGTGAGGATGATGCAGAGCAGGGACTCAGAACCTGCCTGACCTCTGGCCCAGGGTTTCTAGCACATGGTCCAACATGCACATGCCTAGTCCAACTGCACTCTTTCTTAGCCACGCACTGGTGCATACAGGCCTCAATTTGTGGAGCCTGGGGCTCTGGTTCTCCTCTTTCCAGAAGACGCGCATCACTCACCAATCTTTCTGGTTTCCTTCAGTGTCACAGACTCTGAGAAGTTTTTTATGATTCAGGTTTTTTGTTTGTTTTTTGTCAGTCATGGATCTTGAACTCAGGGCCTGGGCACTGTCCCTAAGTTTTTCTGCTCAAGGCTAGTGCTCTGCCACTTTGAGCCATCGCTCCACTTGCAGTTTTCTGGTGGTTAATTGGAGATAAGAGCACAGACTTTCCTTCCTGGGCTGGCTTTCAACCATGATCTTCACATCTCAGCCTCCTGAGCAGGATTATAGGTGTGAGCCACCAGTGCCTAGCTGTCCAGCCAGTTTTTAGAGCTGAATTAAAAACTGCTATCTGAGAAGAGCTTCTGGGGAAATCACCAGGTTTGAATTCAGGGTCTTATACTTCTTCTGACAGGGAGCTCTATCATTGGAGCCATGTCCCTAGCCTTTTTTTGCTTTTTTTTTTTTTTTTTGCCTAGACCACAATCCTCTTACCTCTGCCTCCAAGCTCCACTGTAGCTAGAATTTCAAGGGATGTACCACCATCCCTGGCCTTAACCTTTCAAAGCAGGGAGTTGGAGAGGAGAGCGAGTAAAGTCGCTGCCTGGAAGAATCATCGAGACTGATCTTGTTAGGTAGAGAGGCAGAGAAATGCACATCAGCCTTCCTTGGCAGGAATTAGCCACCAAGAAGCCTAAACTCTCCCTAATGTAATAGAACTTCAGCTCTTTTGGCAAAGGATCCAGGTTGGCACACTTTCAAAGTTTCATTCATTTCAAGAAGAGCACAGAGGAACAGGCTGACGCAGGGCACAGCTGGCAGGGAGGATACAAGGAGAGGAGGTGCAGCTGAGCAGGCTCTCCAGGGCACCTCAGTTCTCCTCACTGGAGTCTCCCTTTGGGCAGCCCAGATCAACTTTTTTTTTGTGAGCAGGACTGATTCTGTGACTAACTTCTGTGCTTCGTGTCTCCTCAGAGTGGCACTTTGCATTTCTGTGGCTTCCAAGTCTTAGAACCTCAACTGACTTACAGCATTGGGCATGTGCCACCGGATGCCCGAACCCAGATCCTGGAAGGATGGAAGAAACGCCTGGAAAATATTTGGGAGGAAACACCACTGTATTTTGCTCCAAGCAGCTTCTTTGACCTAAACTTCCAGGCAGGATTCCTTATGAAAAAAGAAGTAGAGGAGGAACAGAAAAATAAGAAATTTGGCCTTTCTGTGGGCCATCACTTGGGCAAGTCCATTCCAACTGACAACCAGATCAAAGCCAGAAAAAATGACTCATAGGCTTGCTTTTCTAACATGTAGACAGTCTAGGTATCATTCTGTTTCCCCAACTTGCTTTAGATTTTAAGGTTTGTGTTTTTCCTCAGGTCCATAAAGAATGAGTAGGAAAAGGATTAGGGTGTATTTGTAACATTGTAGATAGTCTTACTGGTTGTTAGGATTGCTAGTGTGGCTTATAACTAGACTGTTTTAGTCATTAGAGGCCACTTGGGTGGTAAAGCAAAGAAAGGTGTAGGAAAATGCTAGAAAATAGTCTTTAAGGCCAACTATACAATTTATTTCCTTTTTTTAGGGCTGAACTGTTAGGGCCAATTCGGGCTAGATAGCATCCAAATCTCCAGTGATCTACTTTAATTACCTCTCTGTGGTTTACAGCAGAAGGGGAATTGCCCAGAGAAAATAATGACTGAATCCATCTAGCCTAAGGGACTTTGTTTGGTTGTTAGCAATCCAATGCTTGTTTATGATCTTTATTGGTTTCAATTACTATACAGTGACTAATATGCCTCTCTTCCTTCAACTTTTTTTTGTACCTATGTGCACATATACCTTAAAATGAAGCTAATAAAGGTCTCTTCCTTAATCTTCTAATTTAATGTTTGCAGAAATAATCCCACATATTCACACCTTGTATCTTCTATACTGATTGAATTAAAGAAAGGAAATAGTACATTTAATACTTTTTTTTTTTTTTTGGGTCCGGTCATGGGCCCTGAACTCTGGGTCTGGGCGCTGTCCCTCAGCTCTTCAGCTCAAGGCTAGCGCTCTACCACTTGAGCCACAGCACCACTTCCGGCTTTTTTTTTTTTTGCTTATGTGGTGCTGAGGAATCGAACCCAGGGCCTCGAGCATGCAAGGCAAGCGCTCTACCACTGAGCCACCTTCCCAGCCCCTTAATACTTTTTTTTTTGCCAGTCCTGGGACTTGTACTCAGGACCTGAGCACTGTCCCTGAGCTTCTTTTGCTCAAGGCTAGCACTCTACCACTTGAGCCACAGCGCCACTTCCAACTTTTTCTGTTTATGTGGTACTGAGGAATCGAACCAAGGGCTTCATGCATGCTAGGCAAGCACTCTACCACTAAGCCACATTCCCAGCCCACATTTAATACTTTTTAAGTATTAAAAACAGTAGGTATCCATAAAAAAGTATTTTGTCTGATCTCTGTCTGGAAGGTTGTTGTATATAACATTACTAAGTTTATGGATTTCTTTTTGAAGGATTTGTTTGGATGGATCCCATGACTTTTGGGATAAAGTTGCACACCTAGAAGTTTACTAATTTGGTGAACAATATCGGCATAGAATAATGTATGTCCACATGCTCACACATGCTCAAAGAAACCCAGAGCCTTATACAGGCTAGATAAGCCCTCTACCTCTGAACTATAGACCAACTTCCAATTTTGGAGTAACATTTTATATTCCAATGTTAATTCTTAGACAATTTTAATCTCTTCACAATTGCTATAATTCAAGTAGAATTTGATGAAAGACTGCCCTCTTGTGGTATATTGAAGGAAAATAAAAAAGATACAAAGCCAGGTAGCCTGAAAATGGGAATCAGCCTTTTAACTGCCAAGGAAGTGATGAAGTGATGGCCTGGGCGTGTGTGTGTGTGTGTGTGTGTGTGTGTGTGTGTGTGTGTGTAAGAGGAGAGAGAGAGAGAGAGACCAAGTGATGACCTGAGAAATTGTGTTTGAGTATGTATATGTGTGTATAGTATACACAATAACAGAGAGGGGGGTGTTTCAGTTTGAAAATGTACTCTAGCTGGGCGCTGGTGGCTCACGCCTGTAATCCTAGCTACTCAGGAGGCTGAGATCTGAGGATCGCGGTTCAAAGCCAGCCCGGGCAGGAGAGACCGTGAGACTCCTATCTCCAATAAACTACCAGAAAACCGGAAGTGGCGCTGTAGCTCAAGTGGTAGAGCGCTCGCCTTGAGCTGAAGAGCTGAGGGACAGCGCCCAGGCCCAGAGTTCAAGCCCCACGACCGACAAAAAAAAAAAAACAACGAAAATGTACTCTATAGCCTTAATCTTCACTGCAGTTCTGTGGCAAGTTTCTCAAAGTTCCAAATTATAATATATAAAATTTGGTTTTACAAAACAAAATAAAAGGCCAATAGCCAGGTACCAGTGACTTATGAACATAATCCTAGTTACTCAGGAGGCTGAGATCTGAGTATGGAGGGTTTTAGGTTTTTTGTTTTGGTTTGGTTAGTCATGGGGCTTGAACTTTGGGCCTGGGCACGGTCCCTCAGCTCTTCAGCTCAAGGTGAGCACTCCACCACTTGAGCCACAGTGCCACTTCTGGTTTTCTGGTGGTTAATTGGAAATAAGAATCTCATTGACTTTCCTGCTGGGGCTGGCTTTAAACTGTGATCCTCAGATCTCAACCTCCTGGGTAGCTAGGATTACAGGTGTGAACCACCGGCACCCAGCTTGAGTATGGAGGTTTGAAGCCAGCTGGGGCAGGAAAGTCGGTGAGCATATCTTCAATTAACCAACAAAAAACCTATAGTAGAACTGTGGCTTAAATGGTAGAGCTTTGAGCACAAAAGCTCAGGGACAGTTGAAGCCCCAGGATGGGCACAAAACAAAACAACTCATATTCACTGATATCAGTGAAGCTAGCCATAGAAACATTCAGGCCAAATTCAAATCTACTGGAGGACAGGATTAGAGGAGTCAATAAATTATGGCCAAGCCAGGTACTGGTGGCTCACATCTGTAATCCTAGCTACTCAGGAGGCTGAGATCTGAGGCTCCTGTTTCAAAACCAGCCCAGGCAGCAAAGTCTACCAGGCTCTTAGCTCCAAGAGCACTAGCCTTGAGCTGAAAAGCTCAGGGACAGTGTCTAGGACACTGGAACATGGACAACATGGAAGGAAGGGAGGAGGGAGGCAGGGAGGCAGGGAAAGGAGAGAAAAGAAGAAAGGAAGGAAAAGAGAAGAGAAAGGCCAGCTCCTATTTAGCCATTTCAGAGAGCTTCAGAAAAGAGAATAGTGTTAAACCAGACAAACAAAAAGTACTATAAACAAATAATGCCTTGGGGACAACATTTACTCTGTACAGTCAATAGGCCCACTCTCTTCCGGGCGCTCGGAACACAACACACACTCTCTCTCTTCTGGAACTGCATTCTTGCGAACAAACCTACAGCTGGTGAAAAATTCTAGGAAGAAAAGGCAGGTTAGAGGAATAGAGATGAGACAGAGGACATTGCTTTTTATCGGCTGATTAAGAACTCCAAAGGCCACACTCAGCAAGGATCTAATAAAATGGTGGGCAGCAAAACACTGGAGCTGAGAGGAGCAAAAAAGAATATACAAAATATGTCTGAGGAACAGAAAGGAAGTCAAAAGGACTGAAGCAGAGGCAGTGGGATATGAGTCAGACAAAAGCTGGAATTAGAGTCCATGGGGCATTTCAAGCATTTACCAACTAAGGTATTTGACTCTGCCACTGTTCCTGTCCTGATTATCACCGGAGGGTGTGTGTGTGGGGAGGGGTACTGGGGTTTGAACTCAGGGCCTGGCATACTGTCCCTGAGCTTTTGTGCTTCAGGCTGTTGCTCTACCACTTGAGCCACAGCACCACTTTTTTGGGGGTGGTTAATTGGAGATGAGTCTCACAGATTTTTCTGCCTGGACTAGTTTTGAACTGCAATCCTGAGATCTCAGCCTTCCAAGTAGGTAGGTTCCAGGCATGTGCCACTGATGACTGGTCCTGGAAGGTTTTTTTTTTGGTTGGTCGTGGGGCTTGGACTCTGGGCTTGGGCGCTGTCCCTGCGCTCTTCAGTCAAGGCGAGCGCTCTACCGCTTGAGCCACAGTGCCACTTCCAATTTTCTAGTGGTTTATTGGAGATAAGAGTCTCATGGACTTTACTGCCCGGGCTGGCTTTGAACCGTGATCCTCAGCTCTCAGCCTCCTGAGTATCTAGGATTACAGGTGTGAGCCACCGGCGCCTGGCTTTCCTGAAAGGTTTTGAATCTTGATGTGCTAGGATTTATTTGAAAAGGTTAAAATTGGTTGGAATGTGAAGGATGAGGTTTAAGTGAAGCCTGGAGACTTGCTGGAAAGCTGTTAAAATAATGTAGGCAACATATGCTTTAGAGCAGGGTGAGCATGTGTTGCTCACTATAGAGGTATTGAGCAGTGGTCAGATTCTGGATATATTTCAAAGGTTAAGACAACAGGATCTGATGATGGATTGGATCTGGGTCAAGTCCAAAAACTCAAAAATATTTTGGCCTTAATTATGAGAATGTGATTCTATTTGTTGAGGTCAAGAAGCCAGGACGAGTATTTGGGGAAGGGTTTGAGAGTGGAATCAGAATTTGGCTTCTGGTATGTTGTGTTTGGCATGTCTATTAAGACAGTTGGGATGGGAGAGAATGGTGGGAGGGGTGATATCAATTCAGATGCGTTGCACTTATAAACTGATTTGCTGAATGGGTAACCCCTTTGTCAACTGTTTAAAGATGATAAAGACAGTTGGGTGAAGCTGACAAGTAGGCAACTGGACACAAGAACCTCAGGAGTTCAGGAAAATTATGGCCAGGGATTCACATTTGGGAAACTTCAACATCTAAGTAGTACTTAAAATAATGAAACTGGATGAAATAACTTAAGAACCAAGTTCCAATAGAGATGTGTTGTCAGGTCAAAAAGGAGAGTGAAAAAGAATGGCCAGGGAAGCAAAAGAATCAACTACGGTGTCCTGAAAGCCTAGTAAAGAGATATCAAGGAGGGAATGTCCGAAGTGAGATGAGACAGGAGTATAGAACATTGGACTTGGCTATGTGCAAATCATATCATATATTATATATATATACAGACAGATATACATATATACAGATGTCATATATACAGATAGATATATAATATACATAATATATAAATTTATAAATATTTAAATAACATACAAATATATATAATATAAATTATATATATAATACATAATACACATATTATATATATTATTATATATATCTGTATATATAGATATACAGATATATCTGTATATATGACAAGGAAGGTCTTGTTAGGTATCCTAGGCTGGTCTTAAACTCATTATGTAGCCCAAGCTGCCTGGAACTTGTGATCTGCATCTACCTTCTGGATGCTGGGATTATTGGCATGTACCGCCATGTTTTCTTGTGGTGCTGGGATTGAACCTAGGGCACTGAGCATGATAGGCAAGCTTCTTCAATGGAGTTACATCCTCAGTCTTTTTTATGACTGTGACAAGACCTATTTTAATAGAGGGGTGTGACAGAAGCTGGGGTGTAATGGGTTCAAGGAAGGAAGGAGAGGAAGGAGAAATAATGTAGGAGATGTGTGATCAAAGAAACTAATTGCATTTTTAAGAGATAAGAAACAAAGCAAATGCATATGCCAATGAGAACGACTAAAAGTTTTGATGTGGAGGCCAATTAAAGGGACAAAGGCATGTCCTTCACTAAAGCAAAAAGAAACAGCATTGGTTAGTAATACTAAAATAACATTCTGAGTTACTTATTGGGTGCTGTAGGAACTAAGTATCTTATATGTACTACTATACTTAACACTTGTGACAACTCTT